ATTTTATATACATACATATATAATTTTAATATTAATGATTTCATTTTAACTTTTAATACTTTTGTTGCCCCCTTTTGAACATAATCGTAATATTGGATCTTTCAAGTCATTCATGCATTTAATTTAATCTAATATACAAGCAATGTGTACGGACATAATTGACATTTTTATTGAAAACCCGTCGATTAAAAAACTATATCGGCATTGTATGACGTTCATACATTTATTCATGTTAAATTGCATTACTACATCACATTTCGAAATATTTTGTATATATATATGTATGTATATATAAATATACAATAACGTCATTAAATTTAGTTATAATGCTCATAAATTTTCATTTTTAAAATGACATTTTCGCAAAATATTTCAAATATCAAAAAAAAGTTTTAAAAGTTTAACCCGAATAAAGTAAGAAAAAAAAACATTTTTTAATGGATACTGTCAGTGCACTACAGGATCTCAAATATAATATCATAATTACTCCAATAAAAAAAAAAGGAAAAACAAAATGAACCGTTAAGATAAAAATTTAATATTATGCTTTTGAAAGTGTGCATTGATTGCGTGAGGCTGCAAGGCATTATTTGAAAAGCTGCTTAACGAAATAACGCGGTGTTTTTTAGTTTTTTATTTTTACCTTATTCTCATTTTCTTTATTGTTCATATTTTTGTGATGATCATTCGTGTCGTGATTCAAGTATATTTTTTTTTCTTATTGCATGTAATGTATACTTATTTACATATATACATAAACACGAAATATATCTACTTATTTGAGTTTGTTCCTTTTAATTCAATATAAACTTCGTACAATGCTCTTAAATTTTCGCAGATGTACATTTAAAATAAACTAAATCGTTAAATATACATTCATATTAAATGCTCATACATACTTTTCATATTATGTATACATGTCTTATATACCATATGTACTGTAATGAACACACAAATTATGAAATTATGTCAAAAAATTAAAATGTGCAATGTTACACTGAAAGTATTGTAACTCTTTCGTTTTTCGTATGTTGTTTACTGAAGTGTATGTGTTTGATCAGCGTCGAATTCTTAGTCGATTTAGCCATGTCTGTCCGTCCGTCCGTCAGTCCCAACGATAACTCAAAAACTAATTGAGCTAAGTTCACCAAACTTAAATGATTTATAGTAGTAAATGCCAAAACCCTATTTAAATTGGATATGATCGGGGTACTGGTTCAGGTAGCTGCCTTATTACTTTAAAATTTATTTGACTATTTCTCAGAAGCTATAAAAGCTGTTATTAAGCTAAGCTATAAAATTAGTTGGGCAAATGTGCTTGATAAAATTTATTGAAATTGCTTGGCTCTTTCTGGCAGTGGCCATACAAGTTCAATAGCAGTTTGGCCGTTTTTGAAAAAATATTGAAAACACACTAAGTACTGAAATTTTTCATAAATTAATATGGTAAATTAAAGTTATAGTCTGTCCCATAGTCAGCTATGGCATATTTATTCGCACATAGGATAGCAAATTCGTACGGGTATCACAGAGCTGACACGGTCAACTCTATTTTTTCTCGTTTTAATTTCATAAAAATAGTTTCTTTCTGTCCGTTCGTCCGCTTGTCTGGCGGAAAAAAAAGCTAAATTTCATATGTATATAGATATTTAACAGACAGAAAATTTTTACCTATCTTCCCCTAAAAATTATAGCCCCCCAAAAAATTTGAAAATGTCATTTTTTAACTACTTATTGCAGCGAAACCATATAACCATTTTTCGAATTTTGCAAAAGTGAAAAAATACTAGCTGGCTTCTCCTTTAGCGGCATACCATAGTTAAACTTTTAAAAAAACTAAATGACTGTTAAAATTTAACGTTATCTAAAAACCCATTTTTTCTAAATTTTGATGTCATTTTTCTTGTAGACTTTAGAAGAAGTTTTAGCATCTCTTAGAACTTAATATTTCGTTTCGTTAGAAGAAAAATTTTTTCAATCTTCACCCCCTCTCAAGTAATCGTCTCTCGAAATTTGAATTTTTGGCTTCATACCTATATTTCTGAAACTTTTCCAAATTTCTATAAATTTAAGATACCGGTAAATGCCATGTCATTAAAAAATATAATTACGAGTATTTTTCCTTATAACTCGCGCAATTAACCATTCGTCCATTATGTTAACGCCTCTTAAGATTTTGTTGTTTTCTTGTTTATTTCAAAGATTGCATACATAATTCATCCTAAATGTATGCAATAATTGAAATATGTTCGTACATAAATGAAAGTAATTTTAATAATGTAGTATACAAAGATTGTTTTTAAAAGCAGAATTTTCAATAGCTGAACTGAAAAGTGGTACATTTCAAACCATTGGATTGACTCAACTTTATTTTTGCCTTATTTCATCGAATAAAATTTTTAATAATTTGGCAAAGCTTAAATAAATTGTTTGGGAAAGACTTTGTTTAGCATGCGTAACAATAACTGTGTTAAAATTATTTGATTTTTTGAATTTTTCTACAAAATGACATTCTGAATTTAAATTTCCTACAAATTGCTTTAAAATGCCAATATATTTTTAAATTATTTTGAATTTAAATCAATTGCTAAAATTTGCGTTTGCATCATCACAATAATTGACTCCTGGTTACAAAAAATATTAATTATACTTTCTTCTCGTAGATGCTTTTGTTAACTCTTGCATTATAAACTAATTGAAAATGTTACATAAAACTGCATCACAAATAATGCATCAGTTCACATGCATCTTAAACTTTTCCCGTTGTGTATTCAAAGAATTTTTGAATTTTTTTTTTTTGCGCCTTAACGCTTTTGTCATAAAATTTTAAAAATGTTATAAGGCAACTTAATTTCATAAAGTTTTCAATTTCCTTTTTTTTCCTTTTAAAGAAAAATTATTTTTATCTGATCTTAATTTTCAAGTCAGGTTTTGTTACTTTACTTTCATAGCAAAAAAAAAAAATAAAACAAAAATGTGAAAAGACTTAGTGAGTGACAAAGAAATTTTTAACCTAAAAGCTAAATTTGCGTTCAACAAACTGGAAATGAGTTTATCGATTATTATAAAAATTAAGTACTTAAGACATTTTCATTTTAAATTTTTTCACTATTTACCATACTTTTCATTAGACACGATTATATTTTCTTATTTTAAATACCCATTTTATGGAATAAGTTGGCATTTTTATCACTATAAGTTTATAATTGCATTTAACATGTTAAAATATCTTAACATTGCACATATTAAACATGTATGTGAATCGATTTTAAGAAATAAGTGATATAAGTTGAAATGTCAATCTAGTATCTTATACAAATATATGACTTAATCACAATTTTCACGATGGGACTTCTTTTAAAAAGTGCACCACAAAGTGATATTTATTTTTATTTATCATTAACACTTTAAGAACATTATAAACACAAATCATTTTTATTAATTCGTTTGCGTTTACAATAACTATATTATCTTTCTTAGAATAACCTCGAATATTGCATTTTATTAAAACAATGAGGCTTACTAATAGAAACAAATCGATGATAGTGATATTTTGCCAGAAAAAGTTCGATATTATTATTGTAAATACAAACTAATTCGTGGAAACGGTTCGCCTATTTAATAAACATCAGTCACTTATTGATTCGACACTCAGAATAAGCATCAGTGTCCAGTAATAAGTTTCAATACATTAGGTCTTACAAAATTTAATTATTATTTAAAACAATCATAAAAATAAATATAATTTATTTGTATGAACGTCGTATAAATACGGGCGAAAAGGCAAATTTTTCTTTTTTGCAAAACATTTAAAAATTTTCATTAATAATATCACTGCCTATTCGAAAATCAAATTTCATTAAAGTTTTTAAATGTTGAATATTCGTAAAACAAAATGGTTATGTTATTGTCTTATATTTTAAGAAATTTATTTATATTATACACATTTGATCGAAAAAAAAAATAATAAAGCGAACAAAATCAATGCAATCAGCATTTTATTTGAAAATGGTTTATTGTAAAAATAAGAGCGTTGAAATCAGAAATGTGATACTATTGATATTTTTTTATATATATTTTCTAAAATAAATAAACAAATCTATATTTACTTAGCGATTAAACAACTTTCATTTATTAATTATTTCCTTTAATATGATTTTAGTTTTTGCTCAGTTTTAAGTCATCGCATGTGGGTAATTCATGTAGGTACCTACACCTACCTACGTAGGTACATACGTATACAAGGCTAATTTGTTGTAATAAATGTTTCATTAAATTCAAATTTCTGGAATATTTTCGTAAATAAGTATAGATATAGGTAGGCACCCGTCGCGTATATACGTATACCTACCAATTATAGAGTTTTAATCCAAGTCCCAATCTAACTCTTCAACTTCGAAAAAGCTCTACGATTTTCTATAAAATTAAAATTAAAATGTAAGGGACTTCACATCTTGAATTAAATTTGGACATGTATTACACAAAATGTATTAATGTCCGTAATCTACCAATTGTTTGCTAAATTATGTATTTATCTCGCCAAAAATGTATTAATATCAAAATCCTAGAAAATAACTTCTTTCAGTCAAACGCAACAGTAAACTTAAATACTAATTAAACCTGCTGTTTTCGGCTACAAATAGAAATGTAGCTCTAATGTTCAATGTGTGTACAAAGATATGCTATTGCATATATTCTGAAACCATTGGCTTTAAATAAATTTAAATTTAAGTAAATCAAATTAACGCAGGTTTCATTTCTTTCTCAAAAATAATCCAATTCTTTTATACAAAAGTATGCATATAAACATAATGACTGAAAAACAGTCAATGTCTAAAAATTGAATGGAAATATATCTTGCACCCACAGTTTCTAATTGATTTTACAGAAGTTATAGACCAATTCGAGATATTAATATTATATGTTACGAATATAACGTATAAAACTTCATAATTTTGCAAATTATTTATAATTAACAATAATGTAATGAAAATACTTACATCCATGTGGGAGATCCTTGTAATCCATTGACTGCAATACAATTGCATATAATTAAGATAAATGCATTAATCCATATCAGAGAAAAATGTTTTCTTTTCAAAAATTCCATCTTCTTTGTTTGAATTTTTGATTCCTGTTTTCTGTTTTTTTTTATTTTGTGTTTACAATCTCTTTCCAATTTGAGCTTGATAGCCGCTCCCTATCTTTAAATATTCTCTGACTTGCGTTTTTTAATTATAGCAAACAAAATGCCTTTTTTATTTTCAATATTTATACAACATCATATTGTGTTATCGATTTTAATTTATGTATTTGATTTTATCCTTTAAGATTATCCACCATGTATTTTATATAAATTATGTTTAAATTTTAACTGAATACTTATAAGTACATGTGTATGTACAGCATGTACATATATTTATGTAATATTTTTCGCTTTTTTTAGAAAACAATCTTCCTTCAATGGTTCACATTTTTGTATTTCCTTTTTGTTTTTATAATAAAAAATTTTCTTATATTAAAGCAATTAGGTTCCACTTTATTACCATAATCTGAAAATAATTTTTTTAAATGAATTCTCAGCTTATAATTGATTGTCGAATATTTATTGATTTTTGAATGAAAATATTATTAAATGAATGCTTTGGTTTTAAAAAAAATAAAACAGAAAATCTAATCTCACTAGATTTTTATTTTTTAAGACAAAACACTTTTGCAGGCGAATAAAGTCTACATTCACTTTTAATTAAAATATTTTTAAGCTCTTCGCAATGAAAAAAGTGAAAGATCATTCTAGTTTAAAACCACAAATGGAAAATCTAATATGAATTTGTAATCACTTTGTTCCACTAAAATCATCTCTTCAGATTTAATCTTTTCTTCTATTACTTTACTTCTTGTAAATTAGAAACCACTTTCTGCTGAACGAATATCTGGAAGCAAAAAACAAAATTTAATTTAGTAGACAAGGAATTAAAAATTAATATAAAGAAATAATCAGAATTCTATAATAAAAATTATTTTTAGTGGGCTGCCGCTTAGTGCCATAAAAGTAAAATTTTTATTATACTTTCGCATATGTGTAAGTACATATGTGTAAGTACATATTTCGCATATAGTAAGTACGAGTACATTTCCAGATTAATGGGTGAGTACAATATATTATTATATATTGAAAAGGAAATTCAAGTATAATTTATGTATTCTATTGATTATTCCTAATAAAAACTCACTTATTCCAATAAGCAACTACATATCTGTTATTGTTACAAATATGAGTTTAAGTTAAAAGCTAAATAATTTTAGACTCATAAAATACTTATTAATCTGAAAAAGTAACTAATTTAATACACTTATGATACTAGTAATAATACTAGTGTCATAAGTATACTAAACATGTAATAGTGAAATTAAGGAATTCCGCTTATAGCGATCTAAAAATTTATCACACGTATGCAAATTTTGTGAAGTTACTTGAATCAAAGGACTGGCGTGTCTTAAGGCAGTATTCTGGGCCCTATATTATATGTGCTTTATACAAATGATTTGCCAAATTTAGGGAATGTAACTGTGGCTACATTTACAGACGATACAGCAATATTGACAGTACGATCTAATGTTGAAAAATCGACAAAAAAATTACAGGAAACCAGTAGCAATATAAGTAAATGGACTAAGAAACGAAAAATAATGCTAAATGAAAGTAAATCTGTACATGTAAATTTCACAAACAATTTAGTAAGCCCATCAGAATTGAATTTGAATGGTATTATGGTATCAATCCAAAACACAGAGCAATACCTAGGTATGACTTTGGATGTCATGCTCAGATGGAAAAAAAATGTGAAGAAGAAAAGAATAGAATTAAAAAACAAATATAGAGAAAAGTATTAATTTCTAGATCGCAAATCTAGATTAGCAACATACAATAAGATGTTGGTATTTAACCAAATGATAAAGCCTATATGAACGTATGGCTTGCAGCTATGAGGTTCGACACACATCAAATAAAGTCCTTTGTGATATTGTTGGTGCTCATTGATATGTTGGAAATAGTAACATTCATAGGGATTTGAGGGACTTCAGTCAGGAAGCATAGGGCGCATTTGGCATGTAAATATTGGGGTCTCTCGATTCATAAGGGAAAGGGTTAGAACAGAAAGACTGAAGCAAACGATTTACGATCTTACGATTTACATTAAAGTGTACCTTCCTTCATGAATTCTAAACACAAATATACGATAGAGCAATGCTAATGGTTAGTTAGTTTGACTAGTTTTGAGAGTTTGACAGTTTGGGACCGCCTAACTTTGTCTTTCGATGATTTAAAAAAAAGACGTTTAAAAATTTTTTGGCATATCAAAATTATCAGATTTATAAATTGATTCCAGCGTTTAAGTACTTTTGCTAATCCACAGAAAACAGTTCCAACTTAACCCCTTCTATAAATCGACCTAAAGAGTAAAATTTTTGATTTCCAACTTCATAAATAGGTTTAAATTTATTGTTTGTAAGTACGTAATAAGTTGGTAGCCATTTAAAAAATAAACATAAATAAATTTTTAATAGCCTATCTAGGTTTATTCGAATAACATTATAAAACATTAAACTAGGTGCTCCACTTAACTAAAATATTTCTATTTATTTATACTAAACGAATGCATATCATTTCAAATAAAAAATATTTTGTTCTTGAACTTTTTTTTTGCTTTGTTTTTTAATGCAATGTAATAATTTTTAAGTTTCCAGCTTGACCATTTTCAATTTTAATCATACTTAGATGACCCAATTTAAATTCAAAAGAAAATGTTTTAAGTTTTTGAATATTCTATTTATTTTAAAAATGCTTTTTAAATTCAATAATTATGATTTTCACATTTATTGATGTAGAAATATGAAATTTAAAATCCTTAATTTCAAGTCTTAATGTTAAGAGTATACTAATTATAGGTACCTACCTATATACTCTATTCTATCAATCTCTTAATATTCTTTGCATTTTCCTAATTATCTTAGATACGCTATATGAATAGTTATACTAATTCAATTTTCTGGCCCAATATAGCATACTTAGCTAATATAATTGGATTTCTAGACCAACAAATATTCAAATATTATTTTTAGAAAATTTTTTTAAATAAAATCTCGATTAACCTAGAAATTTACCACTCTATATACATGTGTCCACTTTTAACAAGTACCTATGTACTTATCAAAATTAAAATTCTTTAGAAACTTTTAATTAATATTCGTAAGAACATTCAAATATTAAAACTCAATAATAATTATATTTGAATATTTATTGCTAATAAACGTAACACCGAATTTTTACCCCGGTATTCGAGGCCACAAGGCAAGGTTTTGTGGTCATTAGTACAAATAATACAAAAATAGTTTTTCCGCTTTAATTTGCACAGGAGTAGGTCTGGAAAATTCTTAAGTACAACTCTTAATACCAAATACAACAGTCATAGGATCTGAAGAATTCTCCATGATTTTAATAATGTTTTTGAGGTTACTGAAACTTTATTAGTCTTTACTATTAACAATACAAAACAAATTTGTCTATCAACGGCTATTTAAGTTCATAAAATCCATAAAAAAGGTTTATGTTGAATCAGCAAACTTCAATTTTCATAGTTTAATTTATTGATGATGTATGGAAACGGAAAAACAACTTTATTTAAAAAGAAAAATTTTTATTTCCAATATCTTTTTCCAATTTAATAATAATTTTTTCAAAATGGTACTTTTTTATATAATTTGAATAATACGCTTAAAAAGCAGGGTGATACAAAAATTGTTTATTAAAATTTACTTCTCCGATTTTTGGATGCAATATTATACAAATGTCCACAAAGTTACTTAAAAAAATTATAAAGATCATAAAATTTTCGGAAGAACTTTAAATAGTACATAAGAATCAACTGAAGGTTTTGGACGAACCCGTATGAATTATGATTAAAAACAAGATGATTTCGTTTCATTTGCTACTTATGATTTTCTGACATTATGTAACATTTATGTAAAAGAGTTTGAAATCGTTGTATGGGCAATTTTGAGTTTTAACTTAATTTTTGATTCTTTATTTAACTGAAGTAGGTGCCTGTTTAATATTTTACAATATGCACATGTACAAATTTTTTGTTGAATTATAAGCTTCATCTCCACGTATTAAAAGTTTTAACACCATTCAATCAATAAAGAGAAAATATTGTTCTATTTGAGCGCCTGAAAAATATTGACTAACACAACTTATTTTCAATTCCTCCTTCCCTCTGAATTGTTTTTTTTTCACTATTTTTATTATTTATTTATTAAGATTTATAGAATTAGATTAACGTTTTGGAAAAGAAAACTCACTTGAAATTAAAATCCATATACACACATACATACATGTTTGTATATAATGTAGAGAATTTCTTATTGTAATGAATTAAAGGAATTGCTGAGAATAAATGAAGGAAACAAAAATATAACCAATTTCCAAACTTAACAATGCAGACATACTGGCGCTAATCTACTCTCGTTAATAGATTTTAAGTAAAATATTTCGATTTTTTTTGTTCTTTGTTTTAATATTTTTAGATTGGAATATTTTAAAATTGAAAAAAATAAAGTTGGGTCAAACCAGTGGTTTGTATTTTAGCACTTTTCCCTTCAACAAGTGAAAATACTCCTTTTAAATACAGTCTTTGTATACTTATCACGCTATTAAAATTATTTTCAGTCATATACAAAATTATTTCTAGGATTGCATATATTTAGGATGATGCACACATGCAGTATTTGAAATAAAGCAAAAATTAATATAAAAAGGGGTTAACATAATGCTCGATTTTAAGGCTTAATTGTGTGAGTTAAGAAAAATAATTATATTTTTTGATTTCATGGAATTTACCGTTAACTTTTTGCGTTTATAGAAATTTGAAAAAGCTTGCGGTTTCGGAAATATAAGGTGTCAAAAATTCAAATTTTACAAATTTGAAAAGGCGATAGCTTGAGAGGGGGTCGAGATGGAAAAAAATTTTTCTTCTAACGAAATGAAGCATTTATTAGTGTCTAAAAGCCTCTAAATTTTCAAGCTTCTACAAGCTGGGGTTTAGAACAAAACCAAAATCAAAAATTTGGAAAAGAAGGACTTTAGATAACGGTAAATTTGAACGGCCATTTTGTTTTTCTAAAGTTTAACTATAGTATACTGCGCTTGGGGAAGGAAGCCACTGCCTTTCTGCACTTGAAAAATTTCAAAAATGCTTATGGTTTCATTGCAACAAATAGTTAAAAAAGGCCATTTTTAGGGTTTGGATTTCAGCTTTCTATCTTCAAGGGTGTAGAAGTTTTGTAAACAGACACACGGACAAACGGACGGACGGACAGAGTGAAATTAATAAGCACTTTTTTTCAAAAATTTTTTGGAAAAGTGCTAAAAAGAGAACAAATAGATTTAATTTTTTTTTATTTTATTTCGAATCGATTGATAAGTATAATTTTACGAGTATTAACACATAAACTTGACCTATTATGGTTAAGTAGTTTTATTAAAATTTAT